AATAGACTAACGAGTAATAATCTTATTAAGTAAAGTAACTAGTAAGAAAGTATAATTTAAGTTAACTATAACGAGAGTAATAATAAAATCTATCTATCCTTATATCCTTGTTGCTTCTAGTCTTACTATTACTGCCGTCACGACTTCCTTCCTCTTAGCCTAATATCCCTAATAGCTGCTATTATAGGATTACTACTATTACATACTAGCGCCTAATAGTCGTCTTAGCGTAATGTTAATTACGTAATCTTTGCCTCGCGATAATTATTACCTTCTAACGTAGACGTCTATAGGCCTTTAGCTATTACGTCTTTTATTAAGGAGAGAATCTTTCTTATTACTTATAATATTACCTCCCCTCTTAGGGCTATTATCTTAATACCCTAGAACATCGTTTTTCTATACCGCGTATTAAGACGCCGGCTATATATAAGGTTAGAGCCCGTCTACTCGTTATAGCCATCTCTGCCTCGTAGCCTTCCTAACTATACCTAAGGTCTAGTCTTCTCGCTGTATTCGTACCTAGGATTTAACCTCTAAGCGCCGCGCTCGTGCTAACCGTATAAAAAAGTAAGAGAATAAAATAACTTTCTATTATAAGCGCTATAAAGAGAAGAACCTTTATTATTTTATAGATACTACTACTAGGCGTTATACTAGTTATATTTCTATTACTACTACGTATAGTCTTTTTATATCTAAGAAGGAGTAAGAGAAGATTTAGGCTAAGAAACGTAAGAAATAGTTAGAGATTACTCGCGCTAAGGAGCGTTAAGCCTTAGCCGCTGCTAAGACTTCTTATACTGCTGTAGAGACCTCTTAACTTCGTCGTAAGCTACTAGAGACTAAAGCGCGTAAATAAGAGTTCGCTGACCGAGATCTCGCTATTTTAAATCTCTAGGATCGAGCGAAAGAGCAGGCTGGGGGGAGCTCTACTCTAGGTACGGGCCTTTCTATTATTAAACCATCGCTATCTGAACTATTAGCTAATCTAGGCTGGTTATAGGCTAACTCCTTCGATTCTTCTTTTAATTATTCCTTTCTCTTTAAGAGGCTTCCCCT